TCTTTCTGTTTCTGATTTACTTCACTTAGAATGATAATCTCTAGGTCCATCCATGGTGCTGCAAATGGCATTATTTTATTCTTTTTTATGGCTGAGCAGTATTCCTAATTATTTCTATGACTAGATTAGAACTTCTTTATGTGCACTTGGAGCCTGGGTCAGCTCTTAGTGAATATTAACTATTGAGTTTCTAACACAACTTGGAAATTCTTTGGACACGAATAAGGATACTTATATATATATGTCAGGAAATGATCAGTGTCTAATTTCTGATCATCACTGATGACAGTGCAGCAGAAATAAGCTGGTTTTGTAGCAGTCCGGGTAGCTTGTCACCCAAGTCAGTATTACCGCATTAGCACTGTTCTGTGACTAGATCTTAAGGGCACATATATAAACTATGCAGCCCTACGAGCTGTTGTGTTATGATGTAAAGAGCACTGGACTCCACTTATTAGATCTACTTCCCCTCCTTGCTAGTTGTGTGATCTCAACAACTTACCTCACTGAACCCGAGCCTCAGTGTCTTCTTCTGTAAAGTGAAACTAGACATATTTACCTCGCAGGGTTATTATAATTATTAAATGAGGACATACAGAGAGACAAACTCCCAAATGTTACACTGCACAGTCTAAGGTCATTCGCTAAATTCTGAAGTGTCCAAAGGGCTACTGTACAATGGATGTTGACTACCCTTTGCGTGTTTGGTAGATTAAGAAGATAAAATAATTTAAAACTACTGAACAAGTGAAGGATTTCAATTAACAATAGTGAAGAAATTTCAGATTTAGTTTTTAAGCGACGGATTTGGGTTATTAAACACTGTAGAGTTTCCTTCTATAGAAATTTTTGTTTAAAAAAAAGCTGTTTGAGTTTAGATTGTTTTTGGAATGACTGAATGACTTTACAAATAATTGTGTAAGTCATGCAGAAGAACTCACAATTGGAAGAGGATAAGAATCAAAGCAAGTCAGTTTATCCACAGCTGCACCATTCCAATTTGGTAGCCACTAGCCACATGTGGCTATTGAGCTCTTGAAATATGACTGCTCCTAGTTGAGATGTGTAAGTGTAAAACACACTGGATCGCAAAACTTAGTACGAAAAGAGAATGTAACATATTTCATTAATACTTTTTAATGTGATTATATGTTGAAATAATAATACTTTGGATATTACTGGATTGCATGAGATATGTTAAAATAAATTTCTCCTGTTTCTTTTTACTTTTTTAATGTGGCTACTAAAATTTTTTAAATTATATATGTGGCTCGCATTATATTTCTTTTGGATGGTGCTGATCTAAATCCTTATTGAGTGATTCTGGGAAAGCTAACTCTTAAATTTGACCTTTAAAGCTTAGCTATTGTGGTTGAGATAGCTACTCCAGTGTTAAGAATGTCAGAAAGCATTCCTTTCTTCAGCCACATTTGTAAATACCCAACTTATACTTGACCCTTGGTCAAATTAGTCTGTTATAGAATCATGACACTCTGAAAGTAGCATCTGACTTTTAAAAGATAGCGTGAAGAATTCTATTGCAATAACAACTAATAGTAAAATGAATAATAAATGCTTTTCAGGAAAAAATCTTTTTAAAACAGACTACCTACAACAACTTTCTTAACTCTCCCTTATTTGAGGGACAGAATAAAAGGTAGACCCGGGAGGGCACAGTTATTGTTCTACTGTTGTTGGACAGCCCAAATGTCTTAGGAAACTGGTAGGAGGAGTGGTTTTCAAGCCGTATATACGTGGGTTGATTCAGTTTAGGTGTGTTTCTCCAGTTTTGGTCAGAAGATAAAATATTACTTTCCATATTACTAGTGCCCCCTTTTAAAAGGAAATAAATTGATGAAATATAGGCACATAGTTAAACATAAGGGCACTAAATATAGAAATAGATTATTTTTTAATCTTTTAAAATTTCCCTGAAAAAATACAAAATGAAAAATAAATGAACAAGTGGAAAGAGTTCCCAGTTACTATAGATAAAGCAGCACTTCAAAATAGCCATGATAACTGTGGATCAGGTCACTCACAGGAATGTTCTGTGCTCGTATCTCTAAACAGTCAGATAATCACAACTTCACATCATTATTATCACCTACTTTCACATTCCTTCCTACTCTGCTTCATGAGCTGATTTGTAGGAAAATACTAGTTTTTGTTTGCTATATCAGCAAGGAATTAATAGCACTTAATACATACATCTTTCACATTCACATCTAAAAATAAACATTTTGAGTTTAACATTCTTGGAATCTATAGTTTGAATCCATATATAGTGCATTTGTGTTTTTTAAATTGTGATTTTTCTATTGGGACTATTTAATATATCCATTTAATTGATACTTGGATTATGGAAAATGTGCCACAATTATCCTAGACGTAAGCTATCTTTTGCATTTTTGCCCTTATAATTTCAAATACATTTTTATGTTGTTAGTTTTGTGCTGTTCAATCAGTGTTTGGATTTTAGTCCCTGAAATGTCAGATCCGGTGACACTTAAATTGTTTTAATCTTTGAAGGCAGGGTCCCCAGCAATCCTGCCTTCATTTTGAAGATGGGTAAAGTGATAAGAGACTATACCAGGGGCATGTTCAACCGTATACCAAGCAGAAATGTGTGTGTGTCAAATGGAGAGGTCTTTAGAGCATCCATTTCTATGTATGATCTTTCAGTATAACAAATGTGCACATCACAAATGGTGAATATGGGAGTTGAAACACACAGTAGTTACACCAAAGGGACAAAATTAAAAATAAACTGAAAACAGGAGAAACGACCAGCTTTCATTGTGGCAAGCACTAAGTCTCTGTTCACTCCTTGACTCCAATGTCAGAGCATTGAATTAAAATCAGACTTTTATCAGAATAGAAAAAAAAATGGAAAGAGAGAAACTTAAGGTGAAAACAGAAGGTGTGAGAAGGGTGACTTCTAATAAAATGAGAAGCTGGGGATTAACAAAGAAATGAGTAATAAAGCTCGTAAACTTTTCGTAGACTCAGGAGGGCGAACAATCTTGAAGAAAGAGAAAAAACTGCAGGCATCTGATGATTTACGCTGTCTGGCTTCAGCCTGGTGCTCCAGCGCACTTGTCAGAAACTTTCCTCAGAGTTATGACTTCCCAGCACAGAAGCCACACCTAACTCACACCTCTCCTCTCCTGGAGCTGGAGACCATCTTTCATGCTCCTTGCATCTCTTCCTTCCCAGTGAACACTGAGCCCTACAGTGCTGCATTCCACGCCGTCCCTTCACGTCCATTTTCCCATTTGACTCTTGCTGCTGCCCTCTGAAGTTGATTTAGTAGACGATGCAGGTCCTGCATCACCTGTCACCTTCCCCATTTCATTTGCCATGAGCAAGGCGTTTGTAGAGGTTACCAGTCAGCTGGCAAGTGGTAGTCATAGAGGCCGAACTGGCACCAGGTTTTCTGACTCCAGATCGTATGGGCTTTTCATTACTGCCACTTACAAACATAGAGAGCGTTCCCTTTAAAACAACAGCAAATACAGACAAATCAAACCCTGCTTTGACCCTCCTGTTCTTTTCCTACTACCAGAATCCTGTCTAAACCCAGCATGGCATCATGGAAGGACTGAATTTAGAGTTAGACGGGCCAGAGCTCAAAACCTACCCCTTGTAATAGCTATGTGATCTTGAACAGATTTAAGTCTCAATTTCCTCATTTGAAAAATACCTACCTCACAGAGTTGTTGAGACATTAAATCACAATAACCACGTTAACTTAGACCAGTGAAAGACAGGATAAATCTAAATTTATTATTATATAATTGTCTGCATACTAACTTTGAACCTGACCTCTCCGCAGAACTTCATCTTCTTCTGACTCAGAATATTAATGGTCTTTTCTGGTTGAATCTTACATCCTTTTCTCAGCCTTCTTCAACTCCAGTCTATGCCTTAATTCCCCCTATTCCCTTGACCTTCTTACTATTGTATTATTGATTCTTCTTTTCTGGTGGCTTCTCTTTTGTCTTAATTACTGACTTCTTTCCCTCACTTACACTTCATGTAAGTCTTCTGAGGTGCCTTCTGCTACCATCGTTCTTGTTAACAAGAGTAAGTTGAATTAACAAATCAGAGAGGAGACAATGTTATCTCTTCCGCTTTGTGCAATTTATCTTTAGCCTTGATTCTTCTCTACCTGTCTCCCTTCTGTTTCCAGTATAAAAGTGTCCATTGGATTTTATTCATCTGCAAGCAAGTAAAACTCCAGCACTATTAACAAAGGAAGGCTTTATTTATCTTGTTGCATGTAGACATGGCAAATGATACCTGTGCCTAAACCATTTTTCTGTGATGATGATGATGATAAGAATATTAACAGTTGTATTTTCCAAATAGTATTAAATAACTTACACAGTAGTCTTACCTACATTATCTGAATTTGTTCTTCAGAGTAACACTCTAGGTAGTGTCCTGAATTATCCAACCTATTTTATAGATGCTGTAAAAAAAAATCTGACTTTAATGCTGGGAGTAGGGCTTTTCCTGTTTAACCATACTATTTTTTCACCCCCTATTCCATGTAACTTCTCTGATGTGTGTTTATAAATGCTAGATTTTTAGGCTATAGCATAAACATCATATTCTTATGCAATTTAGGGAAAACTAGGAAAGTAAAGTAAAATTCAAGATAGCAAATTGAGTTATTGGCTGATGAAGAGAGAGTTATACATTTTGAAACCTGATTACAAGAATTTGGGGAAAGTGTTTACTTGTGCTATTTACATTTCTTATTAATAAAATGTGACTGTATAATATATATAGATTTAAGCTGACAAAAAATATGAAAAAGTTATCTTGTCAAAGGTTTGAAGGGTAAAGAGTTAAGCTTAGCCTAAGCGGGGGATTTCATCCCTATAGTTAGAGAAGTCTTCATGTTACCATAGATCATATCCATTCATTCATCATTCACTCTGATTGTCTTTTGATCCTACCTAACAAAATGTTATGTGTTTGTTTTGCAGATCTAAAGCGGGAAGCCAGTATCTGTCATATGCTGAAACATCCCCACATTGTAGAGTTATTGGAGACATATAGCTCAGATGGAATGCTTTACATGGTTTTTGAATTGTGAGTGTAAATTTTATTTTCTTAAGGGTTAAAGTTTTGAGCAACATCAATCTTGGATAATGCTAACGCTTTTTTTAAACTTTAGCAATAATTGTGAACTTATCTGTTTAGAAAGACCTAAAGTAATGAGAATAAAAGGATTATCTCATCTTAAGGTTCAAAATGACTTAGGAAGCAAAAGTTGAGCATATTCAGTTACCATCACATTTTTGGCGTACTTCAAAGAAGCAGCTCAAAGAGGAAATAGAGTTCAGAAGAATAAGAGGCCCCAAAATACAAAATTCTGACCACAGGAGTCAGTAAAGGGGTGGGATGGGAGTAGAGGCCTCCATGTAGCAAACCTATCTAGCAACTAAAAACAAGCAATAACAGACTTATCTTCCACTTTTAATATAATCTTTTAATATAATCACCATGTTGGCATATGAAGGAAATAGATAACAGTGTATCTTGATTTTAAAAAGCCATGTTTTTTGTCAGTAAGATGGAGAAATGTGAGCTAAGGATAGTACAACTGGCTAGTTTCACAGCTTGTTGGATGATTGTGTCCAAAGAGATTATGTAAAGCTTTATAGGATGGCATACTATTCTGTTCAAAATTTTAATCAGTGACTTTCATTAGGGTCTCTCACAAAGTGGTAATCAAGGCATTGTCCAGGGCTAAAATCATTTGAAGGCTCCACTTCTAAGCTCACTCACATGGTTGCTGGAAGCATGCTATTAAACTGAGGGCCTTGGTTCCTCATAGGCTGGTGGACCGAGGCCTCCCGAGGTTCCTCATCACTGGGCCTCTCCATAGAGCAGCTCACAACATGGCAGCTGGCTTCATCTGGCCAGCAAACAGGAGTGCAAGAGTACTAACAAGACTGAAGTCTGTCTTGTAATCTAATCTCTGAAACTTCTGCCATATTCTCTTGGTTAGAAATAAGTCACTAGATCCAGCCCACACACCAGGGCAGGGGATTACACAGGGTGTGAATACCAGGAGGTGATGGTCGCTGGGAGCCATGTCAGTAACTGTCCCCTATAGGGGCCTAGCTAATGCATTGAATATCTAAATCAAAATTTTAAAATATTTCACAAACTTGAAGCAAAGGAGCTGTGAAATAAAGATGAAGGTTTAAGACCAGTTAATTTAAATGCATTCATTCACATGTGTAAGTGCAAGATCACTGTGAACTCAGTTGTAAGTGCTTTTGTGAAAAAGATGTAAACATTTTACTTAGTTGTTGCACCAGTTTTAAAAAGCCCTGAATGGAACCTTCCAGCTACATTAATTAGAATTACATCGTATTCAGAACTAAGCCGCACTCCCACTGTATTGCACATTGCCCGTTCTCCCTGGAGTGTTCATAGTAAGCGGGACACTGCTTCCAGAAGGGGGTAGCCAGAGTGGGAAAGGCCTAGAAATGCTGTCATAGAGTCACAGCCTTCCAAAGCTTTGTTAACAAACCTACTGAAAGATTTTTGAAAACTGTGTACTTCCACACATACCTTTCAGTTGATATGTAAAAACTTTAATTGTGAGGATATTTTCCTCAAAGCTGTAGAGCTGTAACTTTATCTCATTCGATTTATGGAAAGTGCTTTGTGACCTGCATGGCAAAGCTAGTCATCATTGTCAAACCAGTCAGCCAAATCAGACTCGCTTTCTGTCAGAAAAAAAAACTGACTTCATTTTTCAAATAAAATTGAAGTGTTAATAGACACCACTGTAACAGTCATCTTGCTATTGATTTCTAATTCTAAAATAGATAAGGCTTTGCCATGAATATATTATCTGGATGAAATAAGGTGCCCCTCTCTTTCCTTTCCAAAGCTGTTCTGCTGTCATGGGTCGCTCCCTTCCTCAGTAGCTTTGCATTCCCCAGTTGTCTCTTTGAAGCTAGGCAGTCTTTTCAGGATGGGTGAGCAGTTTGTCTTTTGAGTTGGATTCGTATGAGTGGAGATACGAAAGGAAAATTAGCAGACCACAGACTTGTTTTCAGAGAGACCAAATTATGGCAAATGTAGATATTGCTTAAATGCCTTAAACATATCCTAATACATGTGTCCCCTGGAAGGACTTTGGATTCTGCCAGAGATAACCCAACTCCCATTTTGAAGACCATTTGGCATGGAAGAGCTATTGAAAAGACTAGACTTTAGTTACCCAAGCATCTATTGGTTTTCTTTTTCTGCTGAGAGTCCTCAGGGCAGAAGCCCATGGTAGAACATAATGGATGTCCTCAGTTATTTGAAAGGTCATCGTGTGTATGAGGATTATATGTTTATTCAGTGTCGGGTCAGGAACTGTAAGTGGAATCAACAGATGTCAGGTAGATTTCACCTCTAAGCAAGGAAGCCCTCCTTGATTAGACTAACTCTTGTGAATGAAGCAGGCTGTCTCCATTACTCACTAGAGTCTACCATTACTCACTGGAAGTGCTTACACTAAGCTGGATCCATCCAAGGTGCCTGAAGAAAAAATTTTAGTTTTGAACTGGAGAGGGCCTCTAACATCTCTTCAAATTTTAAGATATTATCATTCTTTTTAAATCACTTTTTCTGACTTAATTTTATTCTTCAGTCAAGAAACCTGTTTCTGTACATATTTTTATTTACTGAGAAAACTAGAAAACAGATTTTACCATATACTACAATGAGCATAGAAAGCAAAAATTTTAAATTCATCTAAATTTCATATTTGCTGTTTATTTCAAAGGGGTCTAAGTGACAATGTAATAGAAGATGGTCCTTGGTGTCATAAAACTGTGGTTAGTATCCCAGCTCTGTCACTTTTACTAATTATGTGACTTTTTTAAGTCTTTTAACTTGAAAGTCTTCATAAAATTATGAAAACTAGATGAGAAAAATATGTGAATTCACTTTGTAAGATGGTGATGTGCTCTGCAACCCTAAGGTATTGTTTGTAGTGGGTTTCACAGGTTAGTTTTAGTTTCTCAGTGTTGAGTTATATGGTATTTTATAGAGCTAATTTTGTGTCATTCAGTTATGATTGAAATAATTTATCGATGACTGTATATTGAGAATTTATCAGTCACCTAATCTTGGTGTTAACCCAAATCACTAGAAAATGGCTTTCTATTTTTTTTAACCTTTTATTCTGGGAAATTTCAAATAAAAAGAGAATAGTATAATGAACCTCAGTGTACCTGTCACTGAGCTTCAATAGTTATCAATATTTTACCATTCTTGTTCTGTCCTTTACTGTTGTCCTTTTTTTCCCCCTGGTTATTTCTAAAACAATATCATTTCACCTATAAATACTCCTGTTTGTATTTATAGATAAGGACTGTATGTGTATGTGTGCGTATGTGTGTGTATACATATCTATTTCTCCCCCTATACATAATACTATTATTATGTCTAGCAAAATCAACAATAACTCCTTACTATTGTGTCATATTCAGTTGATATTCAATTTTCCCTGACTGAACAGGAATTTTTAAAGCACTTATTTCTCAATTTAGAATTGTTTTATTAGCTCTAGGGGTCTGGAAGTAGATTATAAATTCACAGTTAAAATAACTTAGTTATTTCTCAAAAGGGTCAGAAACAAAATAGAAATATAAAATTGTTCTTTTGTATCATTCGTTTTTATAAATTTATCTCAGTAGTTGTTCTTGCCCAGTTTTTTTGATTCTCTTTGATTTCCTAAGTTTAAAACAAATGAACAAACCCCAAACCATCCATTACTGTAAGATTTAAGGCCCTGTGGATCAAAGAGCAAAGCAGTAAGTTTGTGTGTGCCTCCACCTACTGGCTAGGTAAGAGATTGCTTACATAGTTGTAATGTAGACAAAGCTACGCCAGATTTTGTTCCCTGCTTCTGGCAATGTATCTACTGACCCTGGTATTCAGGAGCTCATTGCTCAGGTTATGGGTTATCTGGATCCTTTCCACAGTTTTTTGACATGACACCAATATGGAGCAGATAGGGAAAGGGAAAGCAAATGAAGTAAGGGCAGTTGACTGCTATTCGTTGGCTGCTTGGAAATAGCTCTGATAATTTTGATGGAGAAAAGGATAGACCAAACAATATATTTTGATTATCAGTGAGTTTCTTAATATGGTATCCATATCTTTCTTTGCCACAGATTATCTATAACCAGCTCTCCCTTTTTCCCCCTAAACTGAAATCAAGAAATTATATGGTCCAATCTCGCTGTTTATCATGATAGCAGATCCTTAGAACAAGTTGATACTCATTTAATTACAAATGGTTTACAAGTTAAAGAATACTCAAATACAGAGGCAGAACCAGAATTTTAGAGCTAGTAAAGATTAGAGCAGTATATTTCAAAACTTAGCATTGGAAAAAGTAGATCTTGTTAAACCAGCGTGTAACCAACCAGGCCCCACCTCCTAGGTATTCAGTTTCAACAAATGTGGGTCCTGAAACAAGAGGTCAAGAGATGACTGACCTTTAAAGTAGAAGTAGTACTATTTAGAGACTATGTTGTCATTTTCCCCAACATACAGTAGTTTGTTAGAAATCTGCATGTGTTTACACTACATCCATTGCTTAGGGGTTACACTTAAATTAGGACTTCTCTGTAGCAGTTTGCTGTTATTTCAAAAAAAATAAGTATTTTAAAATGTAGGTTCAATTCTGAGGACAGAGCTGTGTCATGTCACCTTGCCCTCCCAAAATTAAATGTTTATTTCTAAGTAACACAACAGGACTTGTCTTTACTAGTGTCTGATACTTGAGTTTAGCTGTAAATCCTAAATTGGCTGGCCAAGGAAGTTTAATTAGCTTATTATAGAATGATTACATGTACCATAGGGAGACTATACAGTAATTAAATATGAATTTAAAAGACATATGATATGAAAAGAATAGTTTGTATCTTTTAAATAATATCAACAGTTTGTATTTTTGAACCTCACAAAAGAGATAAATAGACTGAAAGCTCTTTCATTTATTTTAAGTTTATTTTTTTAATTTTATTTTTAGTCTAGCGTTTATGCTCCGGGAAGGGAATGTTTGTGGA